CTGCTGGAAGTGGTTAAATAAAAAAGAAAACATATTACAGAAAAAGAAAAAAAAAAATGATAAAAAAACCTCAGTAACTCAGCAATACTGAAAGATAGAGCAAGACGCTTCTACAATTCATAAACTAGAGCTCTATAGATAAGCTATCCTTTGACAAACATCCAGTTATAAAAAATGACAGCGTGATTCAAATCTGTGAAAAATTATTGGTGCAAAACTGTAAACTTTGCAAGAACTTTGTTTTTCTTCTGTATAACGAAAATGATCTTCTGCAGGTGTTTGTGTGGCTTTGTAGTTTAGAGAGCTTCCCGAATAAAAAGGGAATATTAGCAGAATCAGGTACTGAACAAAAAGGCAGACTGTACAAGGAAATGTTACACGTTCCGTCTGATCACATCGCAGTCACACGGAGGTGAGTGTTGCGCTAATTAGAACCTCTCATTTTATCTTATCGGCACCCCAGTCTGCGCAGTCGAGAGATGAAGAGGGACTAATGGAAACTGACAATGTTACTGATATCTGGACCTGTGATAGATGGAAAGTCAGGCTGCCCCTAAAAGCTAGTGATACTCACAGGCATGTCTTGTAAACATTTCTCCATTTCTGGAGCCCTAGAAGGCAATAATGAGCACCTTGAAGAGTATGTAAACCCGAACATTTTTGATTCCTTTTGATCTGTTGAATATACAACTGAACGTGTTTTGCTATATTTGTTTAAGTGTGAAAAAATACCTGTTGATCCTTCTAGAAGCCAAGTGCTGTCCAATGTCCTGTGCACTCTGCAGTGTTATCTCAAGTCATTTTATCAGCCCTGCCCAGTGAACTACAGTATGCCTCCTCCCTATGTTATGGATAGGAGCAGAAAGGGATGTGGCCTAAAACACTCCCTTTCTAGGGTGATAACACTCTTCTATAGATGGAAAGTGTGTTACTGGATCACCAGGTGCAAATAAAGTCAAATAAAAAAGAAAACTAAGGCAGCCACCACATCTAAGGACTGATAAACTGCCTTAAATAACAGGCATGTTGAAAGGCCAGTTCACCAAAAATTATTTTACTTATAGGTGGCATCGTTGGCTGAGTCAGCTCCTGATTTCTAATATGTATTGAATACTCCAAAAGCGAAATCTCTATGCCATACTCCACTACTCTGTCCCTGCCCACCAGGGAGATTTGGGTGTTCCCGCCCACCATTGTGCCATTTACTACCTCTTTTTCACACTCCATTATATCCAACAGGGAGATCAGAAACGCCTCATTATGGCAACAGCGGGTGTGCAGATCCTGGAAATCACCAACAGAGTCCACAAGACATATAAAAACCGTCAGGTACTTTAACTCTCCAGCATCCAACAAACCCCCCCCATAATATCAGCTTGAAGCAGAGTGTCCATTTTTTTTCTTTTTTTGTGACAGGTTGACGTTATTATTACTGAATGAATGGCACGGCGGTATCAGATTTATGGGTTTTTTAAATTCTTCTTAGCCAAATGTTGCTTTTTTTTACTCTGCTTTAAAATAAATATAATTTGCTTGTGTTCACCGACACTATTGCTTAATTATTTTCTAGTAATACTTGGCCCATTACCATCTTCCACTTACAGCATGGTAATTACAGTCATTTGTAAAGGAAATTGAATTACTTTAGACTAGATATATGGGAGTTCAATTTTAGGATAATATACGGCAGAGAAATAGTTCTGTAAAAACATCAAAAGAGTGTCACAGAAATACCCCTGCAGCCAAGTTATATGGCTTCTCATGAATGATAATGATTCATCTGAATAATGAATGGTCCTTGTTTTCCATAGCAACCAATCAGATACTACCTTTCATGCTACCATAGTGCAGCTGGACTAAACAAGAATCTGATTCAACAAATCCAGTAAAATATTTACAAAGACAAAAGCTTTACACTGGAAAAAAAGAGGTTACAAAAATGTATCACTTTGAATGCAGTGGAGAATAGAATGGTCAGAATTATGTATAGTGCTTGGAATGGGGTGTCTAGAAAACAGTCCAAACAGAAACTGTTTGACAGGTAAGACAAATTCACACATATCTGGTTTGCTGTTTACCTTCCTGTACACTTTAAAGTGGACCTACCACCAGATATGTTTCCCACGTTCAAATGCATATAAGGTATGCAGAGTAATATGTGTACCATAGGTATTTATTACCTTTCACAGAGATTGCAGTACTCCCTGTTACTATATCTTCATCTGCTTTTCTCTCCAGAAGGACAGAGATGTGTTTTTTCAGCCACTATCCAGGGTTAGCAACTACCTGAACTGTGATGATGGTACAAAGATGACATAATCCTGTAATTTATGGTGCCCGTGCAGTAGTTGGCCAGGTTCATGAATGTCTGACACAGATCAGCCTTGTGCTTCACCCTTTCACCTTGCAGTCTGATCACTGAGGAAAGGAGATTGAGCAAATGCTTACCCCTGCCTGCAGCAAATTGATGGCATCATCTAGGCAAAGTCACTGAACTGGAGCTCACGGAGGACTTTTTTTTATTATAAAAGGCAGACTAGGTAGGTAGGTAATCTTTTTTTTTCTTTCTTTTTTTAATTAAATCTAGAGGCAGAGCCAGCTGTGCCCACCCTCCTTCCAGGGGAGGGGGCAATCTCTGCAGGGAGATGATCGGGAACTGAGTGATCGGCAGTATGTGTTCACTCTGTTCTCAATCAATAGAGCTGACTTGTGGCAGCTTCAGTGCCGCACGTCTGCTCTAATTATGGGGATGAGTGTATTTCACTCTCCTCATAATTCTCCTTTAAAGAAGATTGTATAGTCAAGGTTTGACCCCAGCCTCTGAATAGATAATGATGTAGTATAAGCACACAGTAATGACACAACTGTACCCTCCTGTAAGTATGTGTACAGTTCTTGCAGCACAGCACTGCACAAAGCAATAGAGCCCTGATTAGTTCAGAATGCTTCCTCCCTCCCCCCTATTTGAGCTCGGTTGTACAGGGGATTACAGAATGCTGATATAAAGATTCAGGTACTTATGTAAACATACATTGAACTACATTTTTAATGAATACAAATGGTTTAAATTGAGTCTTTTTATCGCTGTCTGGAGTCCAGCTTCAAAACTAAAGAATCAGCATGTTATAACAGCTAATAAAGCAACATTCTCTTTTTTGTCATACTTCAAATGTCTTATATTTCAGGACTATGCAATATAGTAATTAGCAGTTTCCTAGAAAATTGAAGACCTGCTGACAGCCATGCAGGAAAGTCTTCTCTATGACATCCAGCTGATGTGGACATTTTAATAACAGTCTCACTTTTAATGTATTCTACGGGTGTGCCATATACAATGGCTACAAAATGGAAGAGATGTGGATGGTGGATGACGAGCGGTTCACATATAATGTCTTAGAGATCATGGTCATGGGTGTTCTTGTCAAACACATTGATTGCTAACTGAATGGCAAACTTAGAGGGTTATTCACAAAGGTAGCCGAAATATCAGTCGTAGCTCCGGCTGATCCTTCGGCTAGCTACGGCCGTGGGACCCCTTTGGTTTAGTAACACCGAAGGGCTATTCACTCCCGAAGCTGGCCGAGCGGCTCACGGCTCTCACGGCTGGCTCCACCCAGTTGCAATGACAGATCAGCGTCCACAGGTTACCTGGGGATGCTGAACTGTCATTAAACAATGACAACTTGGCGGAACCAGCTGTGACGTCAGCTAGCTGTCACTGCTCACCCAATTGTTTTTCTTTTTTTACATTTTATTTTCTTTTTTCAATAATCTTAATTTTTTAAAATGTATAATTTATTTACATTTGTAAACATTTTTTTCTACTTTTTTTTTCTTTTTTCACTGTTTTTCTATTCTGCTCGGTACCGCGGAGGTATCTAGAAGTATGTGTTTGTAGATTGTCATTACTAAACATTTCGAAAGGTGCCTTTGTTGTAAAGTTCCTCTTTGACCCTTCCCAACCAGTGTTGACAACTGAACACACATTAAACCCCTTCCTAAAAAACTGACCTCCTTTCTGACAACTCTGACAACTAGGGATGCTAGGGTGTAGGAGCATTTATGCAGCTTATTACATATGGAAGTCAGGTTGGTTTATTCTGCAAGTTGTAAAAAATAATAAAATAAATGAATATACACCATCCTTTTGACAGCTACCAGCTGAGACTTTGCTAGCTGTCAAACCTGGCTGCCACTGACAGCTCCGTTCCCTATGTCATTACTATGTCATCTATAATATAATAACATGCAAGCCGTAGGCTTGATCCAGAAAAAATGGTTTTAGCTTGCAGAGGCCATTTTATCCTGTAGATAGCAGTGAGCCCCTGTTTAATACTGTACATGTCTGACACAAGCATAGTTTTAAAAAATAATACATTAAATAAAAATGTTAAAACTGTAAAATCCGAACCTTTTTTAATTCTATGTGGCGTCAGCTTAGTTCAAAGAAATTTTGCTATGTAGAAATCACTCCCACGGCTTCTCCAGCCCCTATATATTCCTGGTAATAAACGTACTTACCAAAGGCAAAAATAGTTTGCTATCTATCTGAAGTTGTCATTTGCAGAGTTGGTACAGCTACTCTTGCTAGGTCTTGCGCGGTTAGGGTATGGAACTCGCTGCCTCAAGCAGTGATTTCCGCAAATAGTCTGGAATCATTCAAGAAGCTTTTGGACGATTTCCTGAGGGACCGTAATGTACAAGGGTACAGGTACTCTTAAGAATGAGAACACTCAGGGACCTATACACACACACACACAATAGGTTGGACTTGATGGACTTATGTCTTTATTCAACCTCAAACTATGTAACTATGTAATTATGTATGTAACTATGTAATACATAATGCAAATCACTACCTGTACAGGTAGTGGCTTAACTTTATTAAAGCCATACTCCACCCAAGAGAACCAAAAACTGGATGTAACAAGAAGGATTGAAAATGTATTTTTCTGATTAGACTGGAATGCCTCTTAACTTTGTAAAAAGTTTAGTCTTACCTTACAAGAAAACGATGGAGACCAACATCAAAACACCTGGGGGAAAAAAAAAAAGACTAAATACAAAATGCGAAAAATAGAGACAATCTACCGATAACACAGAAAATGGCAAACTTGGGAACAGTAAGTTAAACCAAACATTTTCCAAAATAAGGAAGGTACCTGAAGTGTTCCTGTGACTATAGCAAACATTTAAAAATCTCACTAATGGAAAAGAGTGGCACTCAGATCTAAATTTCTATAAAGTGCCCCAGAATCCTTATTAACTGGGTTGCTTTAACACACACACACACACAAAATCTCCTCACCAACTTTAGCTAGTTGTATACCATAGAGTCCCTGCTATCCAAGGATTTAGGATTTCCAAGGGTACTCTCCAAAAAACTGGACCCACTGTGCAGACCAGCAGCAGCCAGGGCACTCCACCTCTTCCAGCAACAATAGATGATGACTGATAGCATAGCACCACACTTTGTCATGCCCACTGAGTGTTTTACAGAGCAAAACTCTTCTTAATATCATGAGTCTACATCATGTTACCAATCAGAGTCTTTGCAGCAATCCCTCCTATGCTGCACCTTTTGAAAGAGGAAAAAGACCAGGAAACATGTCACCTGATCCTAGAAGACAATTTTGCGGCACTTTAAAACAGGCCCTCATTCACTTATGTAGCTCTAGCCATTTTGGAAAAATTAGTCTTCAAACTACAAGCAGAGCCACTGAAAGCTGAGCTCCTTTTCCCTTCTATGGACAGCAGAATCTTGGCAGTCTACCAGCCTTCTGATTTAAACCATCACCAGGTGCTGTACGCTGTTAGATACTAAGACCTGACTTTAAAGTCTCAGTTGTAATCTTTGAGTATGAAGCACTTCTCGGTACATGCAGCTAGAGTTGTCAGGGATTGCAATTGTAAAGCTCTTTTACTGATTTAACAAGGTAAATGAGAGACAGTGTGGAATGCAATAGCTGTGACTTTGGAATCTGCATTTGGTCTGTGTACTGTATAAGATCTGTATGCAAAATGTACAACATCTGTGTTTGTGTGGGAATGAGTCTGTTTATAAGTATAGTGCAGTGCAGTACAGTACAGGGCAGCAATCTGGACATGGCTTACTTCTGAGCAGATATAACATTTGTTTATGACAAAAATATCTGTGCCTGGAGTTAGGCTTTAAGACATTTAGCCATGTGTAACCACCATTGGCTCTCTTTATCTGATCATTAAACTTTTGGCGATAATTTTGGTTTATTATAGTCTTACCTATTCCTAAAGTTGGCTCTCAATATCTTTTCATGCGATATAGTAGAAAGCTTCTTCACAACAAACTAAGCTTATGTCTGTATTCTTCTGTTGCTCTTATTTAATGGCCCCCAGAAAGATGAAAAGCTGAGAGTAAAATTAGGATAATAGCAAAATAGGATTCCATCTAAAAAGAGGAAGCGGGAGTGTAATGCGATGTCAGGTAGAGAGGATATTTTCCTCCAGTTTAGCCATAAATAAATTAGCATACTGCTGTGCCAAATGTATTTCCTATAGCATGTCCCATCAGCTAAAGATGGATGTCCTCCTCAAATGTGAAATAACTGTGCAGAATGCAGACCTGATGAGTCATATTTTGGAATCCCGTGGAATGCTGGAATATACAAAGAATCAGTGTTTCCGCATTAAGATGCTAAAGCAGCCTGCTAGAAAACTTTCCTTTCTGAACATTATTCAGAAGTCTGTTTGTATATCTTTCCCAGGAAGAATTGGTAGGAGACTCACTACTACAATTTGTACTGTGTTATGCTCACTCTCGAGATTTACTCTGCTAATAAAAATGGCCACCATGACAAATAGCAAAGATGTATTTCCCTACCAGTAAGTACACAGACTGCAAAAAAAAGTTCTAACAGTAGGAAAAAGGTTTTGGCTGGAGTTCCATCTTAAAGGACACATTTCCTTTACAAACTAAATACAAAGATGAAAGATCCTAAGCTGCAACATTTTTTGCAACACTTTGTCAACAATCTTTATTGCTTAAAACAATTTGGTAATTTACTCTCAACTTTTTTCAGTTTTGGGTAGAGAAGAGGATGATTTAAAGTGACATTACAGTCAAATTTTTTTCCCCTCCCCCAATGTTAATTAAAGCACTTAGCTTAAATGATGCCTCTTAATCAGATCTTTTTCTTTCCTGTCCTTTTCATCTGTCCCTCCAGCGCTGACTCCTCTCTCCTTGCTGGCACTTCCTGTCCCACGATGTCTGCATGCGGGTGCACGCGTCCATAGACTTACCTCGTCTCCCGGCCGAAAAGGTGAACTGCCCCCCTCAAGATGCTTTGCGGCCGCTTGAGAATTTTCACATAGTCGGACGGGAGCGCGCGGGGAAGACACAGGTAAGTATTGACCTCTTTTAAAGCGTTTTGTTTTTTACACTTTTTGCATATATCTACTGCTTGCTAGCAGACATAACAGAAAATAAGAGGAAATCTCTTCAAAGTGAGGGAAAATGCTTTTTCACCGCTGTCACTGGAACAGGTGTCGCCCATTGGAAAATTTTACCTCTAATATTGTTCCAGTTACAACTGTAAAAAGTTGGATAACCTATGACTTTATGTTTCGGTCACCATAACAAAAAAAAGAGAGAGTGAATAACCCAGGGACACAGACAACAATAAAACCTCACAGAGGTTGACCCATGTATGTCCACCCTAGCACCTTATTGTGCCAAAGTACCACCATCTCTAGATATCAAATACTGGGATAGCAGTGCATACAGTAGTAACACATTCTGTTGGGCCCACTCCAATAGGCATAAAATCTGTATTGCATACAAGTTCACAACGCCTGAACTCATCCTCTGCTCCAAATCATATATATTAGCCACAAATAGGTCTATTTTTTACCAAGGGTCTAAGAAGCTGATTCTGCAGTCCACGGTAACCAACCAGATTAATAATATTAATTTATTCACTACAGTTATTTATATAGCACCGACAATTTACACAGTATTTTACGTGCACATTCACATCAGTACCTGCCCTCAAGGAGCTGACAATCTAGGGTCCCTATTTTACATGAATACATACAGGGCCAATTTAGACAGGAACCAATTAACTTTCCAGCATGTTTTTGGAGTGTGGGAGAAAACTGGGTACCCGAAGGAAACCCACACAAGGAGAGAACAGGGAGAACATCAACAAACTCCTTGCAGATAGTGACCTGACCAGGATTTGAGCCAAGGCAGAAGTGCTAACCACTAAGCCACTGAGCTGTCACCTCTTTGCACTCTCCTAGTGTAGCGTGGCACAAGACAATGGGTTTCTATAGACAAACAGTTATTCTCTCACTACCTACCTCATGTTCGAAAAGTGTTACAGGTCTAATTTTTCATTATTCATGGCACCAATCAGTTACTATGATTTACTTTCAAACCTGGATAGCAAAAATTACAACTGCGGGGCTAATTAGTTGTCATGGAGAGCAAGTTTAACTTTCTGGACATTTTTCACCCATCAGGTCCTGTAATAAATAAGTCCTGCTGTCGTTTCAGTTCACAGTGAGCACAGTGAACCTCTACTGTCAGTAAATATTATATTCCAGAGGATTGCAAGTCAATTGATTTTCCACAGTTCGCACATCATCAAGAGATTTTCCTTTCATTTGCAAAGACCCGCTGAATAAATAATACAGCCAGGGAAATCAGTAATCTTGTTATCGGTGCCATCCTAACCCTGATACATATCAGGCTCTCGAAGACTATAAAAGTTTATTGAAAATTCAATTCCTTTTCATCGATTCAATAATGTCCTCAAATTCCCACCCGGCCCTGTATTATGTGAGAACAGAGGAGTTCTCTATACAGATTTGTTTTATCACATTAATAATGTCTCTGATCAGTGCCAGAGAGTATTTCCAGCTATGTATGAAATCTGTTTATCTGTTTGCCTCTAGACTACAATTCCTGTACTTGGTGACTATGGTCCTAACAATTACCAACTCATAGTTCTCCTTTAGGCTGGGTTCCCACCTAGGCGTTCGAAATATGCGTGTATGACGCGCGTTTTGCAGTGCATGTTTTAACCGCGATTTGCAGCCTACAAAACGCGCGTCAAACGCGCGTTTACGAGGGCTATCGGCTGTATTATAATGGATACGCGTGGAAATACGCCTCAAAGAAGCTCCTGTACTTCTTTGGACATAGAGCGTTTTTTAGGCACGTTCCCGACAGGCTGAAATACGCCCAAGTGAGAACCATGCCCATAGGAAATAATGGGATTTCACTTGCAGGGCGTTTTACAGCGCGTCGATCAGCGCTGTAAAACGCCCAGGTGTGAACCCGGCCTTAAATGGCTCTAAAATTATTGCTCTATCTGTGTGGTGCGAGATGCAACATGTGCGGCACGTAGGCGCACCTGACGCATATATGCGTGTATATTAGGGGGGCGCGGACTTAAAAAAAAGTTTAAAAAAATAAATGTTATGCTTCTTTATTTTTTTATGAATCTTTCATTTTTGTATTACTTTTTTTTTTACATACAACTTTATTGCTATTACATGGAGAGAGAGAGAGAGAGAGAGAGAGAGAAAGAGAGAGAGA